ATTTAATTTTTTACCAAGATGGGTCCAGTGCTTTTGTGTTTACCTTTATTCCTACCTGTGGGATGATTGAGCAAACAATACTACTCTGCAGTCCACAAGAGTCAAACCTCTAACTTATGTTCCATTACCAATAAGAACCAACAACGATCCTTCTTATAATTTTTTTTTCTTGCTTAATTTGCCATGTGATGTATTGGAGTATTTTAATGTTATTGACCTGGATTTTCCACTGGTGCCTGGTGCCTGGTGATGTTTTACTTTTGCCAAATTGTGAGCAAAATTTGAATAGCAATAATATAACAATAAGAATAAAAATAAAATATAATAATATGAGATTATAATACACAGCTGTGACATGAAAGGGACACTAAAGGCTCCCAGACCACTTTATCTCAATGAAGTGGTCTGGGTGTAGTGCCCCTGTTATTTAGCCCTCCCTAAAACACTGCAACTTATCAGATATGGCAATGTTTTGATACACATCAATTGGCTGTCTACCAGATAGCCACAATAGGTACTTTTAAACTCTTAACAGAGTTAGACTTAGAACATCATCAGATGCTACATGTAGGAAATCATTAGATTCAATGCTTCAGCATGAGAAGCATTTGATTGAACAAGCACCACACATGCACTTCTCATCCCAAATGCTTCTCCAACTAGTGAGAACAGCTGGAACTCTTAGAATGTCCTCAATTATAAAGAATTAGATTCTGAAAGTTCTGCATTCAACACTGGAATGCACTACATCAGTTAAATCAATGGAGATATCGTAATAATAAAACATATGAACGATAGGATGGAATATAAAACTATGAATACACAGTAAATCACAATTCTAGAAACCAATAAGAATGTTTTCTGAAAATAATGACAGCAAACACATATCATTCAAAATCAAAAGGATATAAAATGTTTGTAAAACTGTAAGAAACATATAAGAAAAAAATAATATATAACAGACAAGAAAAAATGAATATAAATATTAAAATGCAAATATAAATAAAAAAAATCGAGTGAAAACCTTTACATTTGAAGGAATAAACAAATCTATCCCAATGTATCCATAACTGTAAACACCATAAAATGCAAATATACAGAAAGAGAAATATAATACAACAAAAAAAGGCTTTCCATTTTGATACCTGCAACTATAAAACAAAAGTTAGAAACCATAAATAACCTATACCAGGAAGTGAAAGTGAAAATGCATAGTCTCATTACACCCTAAGAGAAAAAAAGACTCTCACATTCTAGAAAACCCAAAATACCAATCGGGTATGTTTTTATTATAAAATGTAACATGTTAAAATACTATTGAGTTTCAAAGCAAACCTGTCAAATCAATTTCCATTTTTAATCTGAAGTTTAAAATCTTTAAATTATAAACCCATTGGACTTCTTTTGTCATTAAGTCTTGTAATCTACTCTCTCTTCTCCAGTTTGTTTTTGCATCTTATTTTTGCCCATTGCCTTAAAACTATTCCAAGTAAAAGCAGGACACAAAGGAAAAACTGAAACATGAATACAGAATCAACTCTTTAATTTATCACTTATAGATTATTTTTTCCAATAAGATCAGAAAGAACATTTACTTTGAAAAATTGAAAATAAATTAGAATGATTATAGCAAGAATTAAATGTTTCTTTAAGATTTTTTGATAGGAGGAGCTTTCATTTTAAATAATTTAGATATATACAATTTCACTTTAAATAGCTTGAGATGTTGAGCAGAAATCTTAACAACTTTAAATAGATGAACAGTCACTTTAAACAGCTTGGGTAGTTGAGCAGGAATTTGGAATGTTTTGAATAACTGAGCAGTTACTTTAAGCATCTTAATAGAATACACAATCGTTTTAGAAGGTTTGGTAAGGTGGAGAGTCACTTTAGTGATTTTTTTTAGTCTTGCCTGTGATTTTTTTTTTTTACATTTTTTTTGTTGTTGTGCATTTATGAAAAATTACAGACAAGCTTTCTATAAGTCATAGCATCACGAACAAGCATCAATACAACATGTTTTACGTTTGAAGTGACTTATGATGAACATGCACCTTTTTATAGTTAATGTGTAGATGGACTTTTAAAAGATTAACGCTAAACTATGGAGGGTCTTAGACACGCATTAAGTAGGTAAATTGTGCATCAGGTTGAAGCTATTGCAAAATAACAATGTATGTAAACAGTAGCATGCATGCTAATCATGCTCCTCTCGTTAAGCATTGCTGTGGTATGCTGCATGTCTTAGCAATCTGGTTCGGATAGTTTAAACTGTCATGCATTTACCCTTGGGCCCCCCTCACTCTAGCAGTATAACGTGGCGGGGCATATTAGTAGATTGGCTAGTGTCAGGGCTCCAGCAAGAAAATAAATATTTGGGCATGTTTAAAAACAATTTAGGTAGACAGGGCAAATGAAATGAAAAGGTTCAATTGTTACTTTAAGTGTTCAGCTAATTGAGTCCCGCACTGTGAACAGGCTGATAGCCGAGGGCAGCTGCAAACCTTCATCCGATGCCCTTGATATGCTTTAATAAGTAATCTGTTGTATAGCTTGACCTGTTGTCTCCTCCTGCCCTTCGGTTGGTCTGTGCCGAGTGGTGGTTCTTAGTCTGGATTCCCCAGCTTGATTCGTGTGAGTTGTTTTGTGGTGAACGGTCAGGTGCTGCGTTTTTCCGATGGTGTCTGCTTGGTGTCAGTCGCTTGGTGTAGGTCACCTCAGAGCTCTGGGTCTGGTACCTGTCTCCTCTATTTCCGCTCGTGTGTGCAGGTAAGTGGGGCATTGTGGATCCCGTGCCGTGTAGTCGACTTATGTGGGTTCGGATTCTCTGCCGGCGATGATTTCTTTTCATTTTCAAAGTGGGACTCCGCCTTGTCTTGTCAAACTTGGGGTTCTTAGTGGTTTGTGAAGTAGGTTTGCTCCGAGGAGGCCCAGGCACTTTGCGGGGTCACTGCCTTGTGGTCACTCTCCTGAGATTGGGCCTGCGGCGCCGCCATCCACGCCTCCAGCCATCGCCAGAATCGTTGAAATGCTTCATCTGTAGGTTGTTGCGTATGGTTTGGCGGGCCCAGTTGGACTGACTCTGGCCCGTGCAGTTTGAGCTTCCACGATGAGAGCTCGTCCGCCATCTTGGGCCTTGCTGTCTGGGTTGTCGTGTGGGTTGCCTGATTGCCAGGTAGCTCTATGGGGTGAGCCCGGGGGGACCGGGATAACCCCGAGCGGTCCAGAGGGGGGGTTGCAGGGCAGCAGACTTGCCGCCGGTCACAGCCGGTTCTGCACCGAGGGGCCGCCGTCTACCCCAGGTGCCTGGCCGTCATTCCCGCTAGGCCGCATGTTCGGACGGTGGATTTCCATGGTGCTGAAGCATACACAGGGACACCCTCGGGTGCCCACTCGCTGTGTTACCAATCCACTATCTGCTCCTCTCTGAATTTTGGTAGTTTCGAGTGGGATGTGCATGGATTAGGTTCAGATATGCAGGAGCTGCTAACAAACACGTCCAGCCATCTTGTCTGTCAGGCCCCGCCCCCCACTTTAGTGATTTTAATGAAGTGAAATGTAACTTTAAATGAGTTGACAAGATGTATACATAATGCAGACTCCTCAAAGATACAGTCACTTTAAACAAGAACTGAGTGTATCCTGGCAGTCTAAGGACTATAAATTCCAAGATAGAATACTCCAAATATAAGTCTTTATAATCAATGAATAACTGTATCCAAAATGAATCTCCAAAAGCTGATATAAAGGTGTATTCACTTAATTCTGAATTGGAAGAAGGCAATCTGCTTTATTTTACTTTGAAGCAACTTTTAGTGGGATTAAGCAAGAGAATATGGCTTGGAGTCCGAGGTCAGGAATTGAGAAGTTCGGCAAAACAATATCATAGGAAAAGGTTTGATGCATAAGAAAATTTAGGATTTAGCTTAAACGGCAGCTTTGCATCGCTGGGAAACAATTGAGTGAGCGGTTCAATACTGCCGTGGCTTCATCTAAATAGGAGGACATCTGACGTCAGACAAGGAGGCGGTGTGATCGGCCAAGCTCTGAAGAGGATTAAGGAGAATTTTCGATCTAGTACTGTGACAACTCTGTTTATTTTTAACGATGTTGTTAAAATGTTCCAAAAATCTAACATGTAGTTTACAACTTGTGTGGCCTACATATTGTACACCACATCTACATTGCAGCAAATAACTGGCATAGGCAGTGAAACAATGTAAAAAAAATATTTTGTATTCTTTTTGTTACAAGTGTCCACAAATGTTAACAGGTTTTCTTTTCTCCTGGTATTTACATGTGGAACAATTCATGAATATTATACTGGATGATAAAAACATAATCACATTTCTTCTTATTGTTTATTTGACTTTTTTATTAGAAAGGTCTGACCTACTTAAATTCTTTATTTTTAATTAATCTCTTTCCATTTTTTGTAAGTCACTTCCTTTTTCTGCATATCCATTTTTTATAACCCTTGATTGTTCATCAAATATTTTCATATCTGTACAATTATTTCTAAGGTGAGTCAATTGACTTTTTAGAATGTTTGTTAGCCATAATGGGTGATGTGAACTGGTATTCTCTATAGCTGTGTTGCAGTCAGAAAGTTTGAAATATGTTTTTGTTTTTCAGTCTGCCTGCATATATATATATATATATATATATATATATGCCAATGAAGGGTTTCACTCAGAGGTCCACCAAAAAACAAGATGGTGTTTAATAATTTATCAAAAATTTACATAAGTGTGCGATCGACACAATGTCACAAACACACAAACAGGCAGTCCCCCTGCAGGCAGCACTTTGGACACCTATTGCCGCCATGTGATCGCTCTTTCAGAGCGATCACATGGCCCATGGTGGCCTAATTTGCCAAGGGGGGATTGTCTGGGCTGTCAGCCAGTCCCCCCAGACTGGGAGCAACACCGATCGCTGGCCGGGGATCGGCAGTGATTGGGTAAGTAATCTATTTGCCGCGGAGGTACTAGGTACGTCCGGAGTTCTTAAGGACCATTTTTGTCAGTGGTACCTAGTACGTCCATGGTCCTTAAGGAGTTAACTTTCATATAATGTGCTGATTTCAGGTGTACGCATAGTTTAGTATATCTTGCTGATTGCAGGTGCATAGCATGGGCTATTTTTTGGCTTCCATGAGCAATTAACTCTCTGAAGCATGTACCTGACTGTTTTCTTTGGTATGCTTTACTTTGTCAATGAAAATCTGACTTTGTATTGAAAGTAATAAAGTTAGTAATAATTTTTAATGCCTGCAATATTTACCAGAATGTAATACCTCAATATAGACTATTCCTGACCAGATTTATATTTTATATTCAGTTTTCAGACTCTGTGCACTGAACTTGGTTAAGAAATTTCTTTAGGACTGAGTGAATTTTCTTATAGTATAATCTGAATAATTGAGAGAATATGCTATTAGTTATATCTGTATGGCATGTTGCTCCCAAGTAAATGCTCCATTGACTCCCTTCCTGGAGTTTATATTCTGTATTCTGCTATTTGATCCCTTGCGGATCTTCTGTTTGGCAATCCCTTTAATGAATATCAGGGATGGTAAGTATGAAATATATTCCTTATTAGTGTTGAACCATTAAGCTGTTTAATCATGCATAATTAATTTAAGTAGTAGCCATATGATTTTGCCATTTATGTTAAAGTTGAGATAATCATAACAAAGTTTACATTGTCATATTGTGGGATAGAAAAGGATAGTTAATGTACCTAAAGTAATAAATTAATATTAATTAACAAGGAAAAAGCATGTCGTGTTTAAAATTAAATACACTAAAAGTGATTACAACTACTTGCCAAACTAGCATTTGAGTTAAATCTTGACATTTTCAATCATGATATCAAAGTGACCTAGGGCAATAGAAACAAATAAAGAAATAGTGCTATCTGTATTTGTAAAACCAGCAGTAATAAAAATATATATATTGCCCTCACATTTGATTGAGCAGACTTACTGCTCAGTGGATAGGGAGCAAGTGGTATGATCCCCACCCTGGATTCTTTTGTGAGGTCCTCACTGGAGTAAAAAAGCAGGATGCCAGGCAGTTTAAAATGAAAGTAAGATTATTGAAGGACATGTGCAAAAAATGAAGTGTAAAAGTTGCCAATATTTCTTTATTAACATAAACCAGATTTTAGAAAAAAAATGCATTTCGCCCCACAGGGCTTTATCAAGTAGAGACACCTATCCCTTTGATGTTATACCATTGGGGGAGCTGAGAACCACACCTACCCATATATCCTAGAAGTGGTGATAATACCACTCTGCACTGTCATAACTAGAGCTGGTCATAGCTCTGGTAAATGTGAGTAGAATCTATATTGCCATTTACTCAGTTGAATTTATATATACTGTACCATTTTTTTCTGTTCTCTTATATGCACAAATGAATTCCAAGCCTCCTCTGACCTGAACTTCCCTATAATAAAACTACCTCTCTCAAGACTTGTCTGTTCTCTTGCAAGTGGTATTTTATTTCATTTTGGACTTTTCTGCAGACATTTTATTTTATATTTTACAGTACTTTTAAGTTTTTATATATTTTATAAATATTACACATAATACTACTCGCGCTCCCGTCATCTTTCCTCCCATTTTTTATCTGAATAATTCTTTGGGGTCTGTGAAGTGTTAGGTGTGCTGTCTTTGTTTGCTTTCTGTGGCTTGTTAGCGCTGTGCCTTTCCTTTGTAGCTGTTCACAAAGAGAGCAACAATGTGGATTTAATGGAACCTATTAGTGATCATTTTCTGGAAAGTTTATGAGTAGGTAGCAAAGTGTTTTTACTGTGGCATTGAGGAGTTTCTTGCGTGTTTCCAAACATTTTGATGGGGTACTTATGCCTTTGCTGGAAGCAGGAATGCTTATCCTCCTGTATAATTCATGGATGTGTGCACAGTTTAAAACATTGTTTTGACTGAATCACTTTGTCCATATGATATGTTTTGTGAGTATATACATCAAAGTACTATCACTTTAACTATTTGTCTTGACACTGCATTTTTTTAAAATTGCATTTATCACCTTCATTTTGCATTATGTATATTCGCAATGCTCTTAAAACATATTATTAAAATACACTTTAGCTTCTTAACACTAGCACTATTTCATCTGTCTTCCATGTTCGAATTAGTGTAAGACTCACTGTTATTGTGGTACTGTAAAGTAGTGGTGGGCTTAACACAAAATGGCCATATAATAGAAGAGAATCTCCATATTTGTTGGCTGGGATAGGGTATTTTAAGGAGCCTTATTATATTCAAACATGTATTTGTATGTGTGCACTTTTCCTGAATCTGTATTATGTATACATTTTGGTCACCACAGCAGCACCATTCCTGCAAAATGCATGTTCTGGGGGTGCACTCAATTCCCATTTTGTCTTTACCATGGAGTAGTGGGAGAAACGTAATTCTCATCAACACCATCAAGACCCGACATTAGGGCAATTGCTTTATTACTCTACCGTTCAACTAAAGAGTGGCTTTGATGCCCCACTTGATGCAGTCTGCTGTGCTATCCATTATTTGTATTCTCCCTTATTTGCTTATTAGGGACTTCAAGAAGTTATACAAATATATTCAGGGCCAATACAAACCATTGTGTGGAAATCTATTCACAAACCGGACTTTACATAGGACACGAGGCCATGCGTTTAGACTGGAAGAAAGAAGATTTCGTCTAAGGCAAAGGAAAGGTTTTTTACTGTAAGAACAATCAGGATGTGGAATTCTCTGCCTGAAGAAGTGGTTTTATCAGAGTCCATACAGATGTTCAAACGGCTACTAGATGCATACTTGCAAGAACAGAATATTCA